ATAACATAGTGTGTTGCATTTATGAAATCAATGAACTGCTACAGAGAAAACACCTGCAGCAAACCAAAAATGCTGTCTGCTTCTGTGTGCTGTCATCCTTTTATCGCATATGTACTGGAGCGGTGGAGCTTACACTCTAATGCCCCTCCATAGTCACAAACTATTATTATACATTTATATAGCTGACATATACCATAGTGCTGTACAGAGAACACTGAGCCAGTCACAGTCTCTGTACAGAGGAGCTTACACTCTAATTTTCCCCCACAGTCACATCAGTCTCTGTACAGATGAGCTTACACTCTAATGTTCCCCCACAGTCAAAGTCACAGTAAAGATGCTAGCATCAAAAAAGTCAAATTGGATTGTTTTGGGCCACAGACTGGAGGCTGTTCCTCAATTATGTTCCATATGTAAAATTCAAGAGCGATGACTAAATTATGGGATTTTTTTTTTTAACGTGAACACTATGTGAAGGTAATTTACTACCCTGTTTTGTGGCCCGCTGCTGGTCTCTTCAATAAAAACATGCCTTGAACAGTTTAAAATAAAGATCATTTCTCTTTTACATAAAAAAAAACAAATGATGGAAGATGATATGGACACCACAGTGCCTTCCAGAGACTCCCTTAGGGGTTACACTTACATTTTCGGTCTTGTAAGGGACACCCCAGGTTTTTCTCTCTCCCAGCTGGAAGCAGCGGCGGTTCCACAGAGCCGGCATGGCCACAATCCCTGCATAAACCGGCCCGCTAACACAGGAGGGGGTGGAGCTACACCTTCGTCTGTGGTGTGCTGAGACGAGGCCTCAACAAATGCGGGGATACCGCCCCGTTCCCCGATCACTGCATCTGTCAGATCAGTGGGCGGAAGGAGCGGAGCCGCAGCAGGACGAAAGAGCCACATGTGGCTCCGGAGCCGCGGGTTGCCGACCCCTGACCTAGGAGAACAGATGACCCTCCAGTCAGGATGTTTGGCTTTGTAAGGATAACCAAATTGTGCATAGCTCCAGAATATTGCGCAACATCCAAGTTCCCTGCACCAAAATGCTGTTTAGGATTCCTCCCGGCATCCATCGGGGGACTCTTCAAAAGGGATTCAAAGGATGGTTTTTCCCAACACCAGAACTGCACTCCCGAGCCACCAGGCCAGAGAAAACTTGGTCCTTGGTGTCAGGCAAATTAGTTTGGCCAGAGACTGAACCAATTTGTCCTACACTGACAGGATGTTGAGTTTTAATATTCTGGAATGGAACTGGGCAACCGGTACTGGCTGTCATCAACCCCAGGATTACAATGTAGAATTAGGAAGACTCCTGGACTAAAGAGTCTGTGCTGTAAGGAATTTTTTCAAGGTCTGGATTGTCCACACCCCGTTGTCAGGCAGAACCAGAAATGGAGATACCCTGGGAGTGTAGCAAGGCTAATACAGGGACCAGAACCTTGATGCACATTTGAGGTGCAACGAATAGGAGGAATGGCAGGGAAGCGACCTGAAAGCGCTGAGAATCCACAGCAAAGCAAAGGAAGCGTTGATGCGCTGGACAAATGGGGACATGTAAGTATGCGTCCTTGATGTCCAGAGGTCAGAAAGTCTCCCTGATGGATGGAGGCTATGAAAGACCTACTGGATTCCATGCAAAATGTTTGGACCTAAATGAAGACGTTCAAACCTTGAGATCTATAATGGGGCTTATGCCCCTCTTTTGGTTTGGGGGACAGTGAAGAGGTTGGAGTAGAGCTACAGAAAACGATCTGCCATAGGAACTGGGGTGATAACCACTTGATCCAAAAGACTTCCAAGGGCTGTATGGAGATTTGCTAGAGGTGAAGCAGGTAGGTTGGAAGACATGGATAGGTGCAGAGCAGAATTCTAGCTTATAGAACCTTAAAACTACTTCCCATACCTAGACACCTGTGATGCGGTTTGTCATGGTGCCTGCAAAGGCTAACAGACATCCCCCTACTTTGGAAAGTGGGAGCTCTCCTTTTAAGCCAAACAGAATTTGTGAGCAGACCTGGGGAATTTGGAAGCCCAAGGTTTGCAGTTGACTCCGGTAGTTGGTTTGAGTCTGGTTTTTGAGATTAAGGTCTGGGATTTATGAAAGGAACTCATGTAGGCCTCGGTGGAAAGGGGGTATTCAATTTTTTTTCCTGCCCGAGATGAAAGGGATCGTCACTGCCAGGTCAATTGTGGGAACGGCCCTCTTCTTAATAAAAGACACCGCCAACCGGTTAGGAGGTGCAGATAGCTTAACAGGAGTCTTCCAGTCCCCATGAAGGACATCTGAGACTAGCAGGTTTTTTTTTTTTTTTTCCTTATAGTCTGGGAGCTTCTATGGAATCCCAGACAGGTAGCAGCATTAGTAGAGGCTTCCAGCTGATCTAGTTTCAAAGGGGTCCACACCACATCAATAAGAGTCTAAATGGTCTCTCTAAGCTTGGGAGTAATGGCAGCAGTTTGCAACTCTTCAGGGGCAATATCACCTAAGGACTTCTGAAACTCAGCATCAGACAGAGCATCTGTGACAGAAGTCTCAGAGGCTGCAAAGACCACAGGCAGAACATAAACTAGTTTTGCAAGGGAAGGACCAGGAGGTGTGTGTATTGCCTCTGTGGCAAGAGTCAGCAATCAAGGTTGCCATTTGGCCTATAAAATCCTACGTAAATGCGGCAAAATCTGCCTGGGATATATCTGAGGATAGGACCATATCTGACTGGGCTAAGGATGACTCCATGGAACAGAGGGCAACATTCAAGGCTGTCAGGTCCTCTACCAGGTGCACTGTACGCAAAACCAATGGTGTGCAGCACTATAGTAAATTTATTTGCTGATGCAGTTAAAAGCAGAACTATGGGGTTAAGGCTTTTCCCCATAGTTCTCCTTAGGGTAACGGGAGGACACAAGCTAGCGTTCTCCCATCACCCTAAGCTCAGTATACCACGAGCTACAGCTGGTGGGGAGTTTGGTTACTGCAAGGGTGTTTTTTGTGAAACTGTCCACCGTTAAACAATAAAGCCAGGTCACATTTTTGGCCTCCAGCCTGTGACGGAACAACAAGAGCTTGAGATGACGATAGATTCAGGTGCTTACATTAGTTACATTTAATGAAGACATAACTACTTGTTTTATTTACATCTGTGTGGAGTTCAGCTTAGCCCAAAGCAAAAAAGGCAACATGAACTGTTAAATACACCATAGGTGATTTCTCAAAACTGGAGCAGTTGCCTATGGCAACCAATCAGCTTCTCTCCAGTTGAGCTTTGAAAATAAAAAGGTGGATGCTGATTGATTACCATGCACAGCTGCTCCAGTTTTGATAAATTCCCCATCAATGTCTGTGAAAGCACGTGTCTAATATGGTATACTGAAAACACTGGTGTATACCTCTGCATGCAGCTGAGGGACGGTTTTCACTTTCAGGAAATGTAGAAGCACCAAAGCACCCTCGGCTCTTGAAGAATTGAATGAAATGCATCAGAGCCAAAAAAAAAAAAAAAACAAGCAGTAGTTCACCTTCTCACAAACAATAAAAAGGGGAACCAGCTCACAAATCCTCCTGTATATGGTCATTTTCCTTCAGTCAAGACCTCTTCTGCATGCTGCCGAGCTGAGCGCTCAATGCAGTTATAGGGATCAGAGTTTTGTCAGTGCTGCCTTGGATCCAAGGCCAGACCCCACTGGACCAGAGATAGCAGCCTGGAATGTAATCTTTAGGCACTGAGCTCTGCCAGTGATTGTGACCGTGCCGACCAATGAGATTTTCTTTCTTCCAGGATGCCGTTCTGGGAGAAAGAAAGCTCAGAAGAGATGCTCATTGGTCAGTGCAGTCCCGGGGCCACTCGAGATTGCCAGCATTATCATCAGTTTTGTGAAAAGGTGAACTAACCTTTTAAATGATAGGTTACAGAACACAGGGCTGCATGGCTTTGTCTTGTATGTCTGCCTGGCGGTCAGCTTGTTTCACAACACTACATTTCTACATGACATTAGCTGTGAAATAATTCAGAGTTAGAAAACCTTTTAAACAAATGACAAAACTTGACTTTTTGAAAAAAGGTTTCTTTATTTTGACGAAAATAAAAAGTTTATATGTGTCAACAGGTATCAACCAACTGAAACAACTGTTCTAGAGCTTCTGCATGAAAGCCTTATTGAATAGAAAAGGTGTCATGGCAAATAATGTGAATGGGAAAAATAAATCTAGGTGGCATTAGATGAAATAACCTGCAAATAAAATAAAAGGGCCCAACGTAAAAAAACACTGAACTTTGGGACTGAATTAAAGTAACAAAATCACTCTGGCTTTTAAACTCTGGAACTCATGACACAATACGTTTCATTCATGCCTATTGCTTAATGAAAACTAACTGCAGAAAGGTGTTTTCATCTACCCCTAAAAAGAACAATATCATAAACTTCTATGTAATCGTGAACTGGGAATAGACTTTTTTTATTTTACATAAATGAAGTTTAATTTAGAATTGGGAATATCCCATTATGCAGATGGGGGAACATTCTAATTCAGTGTAGGCTTAAGTTCATCATTAGCAAAACAGTATATCTTGGTAATCAATAAGGCACAGCAGGTTATCATGTGCATGTTAGAATTTATTCCAAAACAACTGGAAACAGACACATTTGGGGGGTGTTTTAACACCGAGAATAACAACTGGAACTAAGTGATGCTTTTTAGTTTAGCTAGGAAGTCTATGAGGGATGACATTTCTAAATATAGCACTTTGCAGCAGCAAAATAGCCTCTGAAATGCTAGAGTAGAGCGTTTCCCTATTTACCCCCCACACTAAACTAAGGTCGTTATTTTCAACCTAGCAGAGCATGTAGCAGTAAGCAAAAAAAAAAAAAAAAAAAACAAACTGCATGCACATAGCATTCAATGTAACACAGCAGACTACAAATGAAATACAAAATTTGAATCCATTTGTGCCTTAACAAATGCTGCGTCATCAAACATATGCTCACATTTCCAAATAAGACCTAATACTTGGTAGAATGGCCAAATGCCCTAGAAATACAGATCCATATTGATCATCATTGACACTTCTTGGCAAGGTAGTGCAACTGTTATCAGTAATTTGGAGCACTTCATCTAGAACAACCGATTTTAATACACCCAGTGTCTGTACTACACGTACACTGGAAGCACAATAATGTTTCCACTATAATATTTCATAGAGCGCCGTGGATTATTATGTAGCAGATGTAACAAAATGAGGTGACAGACGTCTATGGATTTGAGGAATCCCTGATCAGTTAAATAAAATGTGTAATTTTGGATTACCATTGATCTGCTCATATATGCGCTGGTCAGTGCCTTCCATCCTGTTTTAAAGGACATGGAGTATGAGGACAACAAACTTCATATATTAAACATGAGTAAGTACTTATATTTATTTAAACTTCTCTTACCCACAAATTCTTGTTCCCCGATATTCACAGATACACTTCAAAACATTTATCCTCTAAAGAAAAAGCTTAAATTTCTCTATTACATTTCAGTAGTTTTACTGACATCAGGGAGGCCATTACATTGTTCCAGTTTCCTTTGGACAAACAAAAACAATTCATATAAAAAGAAAAAAAAAAAAAAAACACTGCCTAATATAACCCATGAAAAAAGATTTTGGTCTTGTACACCAAACAGTTCCTCAGGGTTCTGCATAATATCCCAAAACTAAAACAAAAGCAGGAAGGTAAAAGGGATAGGAGGAAATAGAAATGACAAATTCTCTAGATTAAAAAATGTACACAGTAGGAAATTCTATATATTTATATATGTACACAACCAGCAAAGCTAATCAAGCACAGGATCTTGCTCTTGCTCTTTTTTAATGGTGGCTAGCATAGAATGCTCACTGTCTGCTGGTTCCGAGTCCCCACTACTCAACAAGATCGACTTTCCTTCGTCTTCAAGAGCAAAGACATCTGAGTTTTGGCCTTGGCACGTATGTTTTACCACCTCATTAGGGCTGAAAAACGTTTTGTCGCACAGGTTGCACTTGTAACGTTTACTTGTTTGAACGAGCATGTTGTCTAACTGGCTGCTGTCATCAAATGAACACAGCTCCAAAGTCTGCTTGTCAACCACTGTGTAGGTGTCAGAACTCTTTAGGCATACGTGCCTAGCAGCTTGGTTAGCCCTGCAGAAGCTCTTATCACAGGTGCTACACTTGAATGGCTTGCCTGTGTGGATGTACATATGCTCCCTCCAATGGCTTTTCTGGATAAACTTGCGCCCGCAGATAGTGCACTCGTACTTTCTACGTTTCACTTCTCTTTCCTGGTCGGCTTGCTCCAAGTTATCTATATCTGCAATATCCGACGGTGGTGGCGTCTCAGCCTGCTGCTGACCATCTAGTATCGGTGAGTCTGAGATCTGAGCCATTTCACTGTCACTTATTATGCCAGTCTCTGTCTCCATGGATTCTTTTCCTACCTCTGACCCATTGTTACAGAAGGAAGGCGAGACACTAGTCTCTGTCTGCCCAGCTGTGGGGCTAAATGGCATTCCTGTGTGAAGCTGAAGGTGTTCCCGTAAACTACTCCTCAAGTTAAAACGGCGACCACACAAGTGACAGGCATAATATTTGGGAAAGCTTCCATTTCTCTTCATGATACTTGGCTTGACATGAGCGATTGTAAGGGGTGTATTTTGCTCCTCACTTGGCGATTCATCCATGCTATTTTCTTCAAGTGTAGAAGAAGCAGGAAGAACAGAAGAGGTAGGCTCCGGAGACAATGGAGCCTGCACTGGCTCAGAGAAAGTTAAATTTGTCCGGTTTGCTGCTGGCAATGAAGATGGGAGTTGATTCATCTGCGCATTGTCTGATGTGGTTTCCTGATTCAACCTCGAGGTCTGTGGTCGAGTTTCACGAGTAGTCTTCTCAGCTGCAGGGGTAACTTTTGCTGGTGGTCTGATCTGATGATCTGCAATCTGGATACCATAAAGAGAAGAGGCAAGTGGAAAAACCTGATCTGTGTGAGAAAATCCACCGTGACTTGCAAGGCTGGCCTCTTGTATTAGAGGAAAGGCATGCAAAAACTTTATGCCTTGCTCTAGGCGGACAGGATCAATAAGCTGAGGGGCCATTTTTCCAGTATACATCAAGTGTAAAAGATAGCTGAAGATATCAGGCTGGATGTCTGTGGATTTTAAACGTACGCATTCACTGCAAGAAAAGTAAAAAATGCATCATCAGAAAGGGAGGACAACATCTTGCATACATTAAAAAGGAATCTGTGCAAACTTATACTTTTTATTCCATACAAATCCAGACACATTTATAAAATAACACACTAGTAGAATATGAAGTCTAGAAGTGAAGTCTGTTTCTTAGACAGCAGGGCCCCACAGAACACGCTGCATTAGAGTGCACAGGGTTGCCATACCTGATTTTACTCACCATAAAATCCTTCTCTTAGATGTCATTGAGGGACAAAGGATTCAGAGACATTTGGGTTATACAGTTGCCCACAGGAGGATGTGGACACCAGTAAACAAACACTGACAAGCCTAGCATAATCACTCCCAGCACGCCTCAGTTTCTAACAAAGCAGTGCCGAGAGCAAGGGAGTACGGAAATTCTATTTTCTTTTTCATTCACT